TGTCCCTTTCTTCCATACCCTAGCATGAGTCAGGCCCTTCCCTCCTTGGCCTTCATTCCACTCAAATTCATCTATTCATTCAAACAAACATTGAATGAGCCTCTACATGTGTTTGGAATCACCTAAATGAGGGCCTGAGGGTTTGCATGCAGGGGACAGCAGCGCAGAAAAGGGCTCAGATGTGAAGGGTGAGTAGGAGTCTGCCAGGGGGTCAAAGGATAGGAAGGTATTTGAAGAAGGAACTGATGTATATAGTACACAGTGGGCCAGGCTGTTCAGAGAACTCCATATCCATCCGGCAGGGCACAACATGAAAAGCAGGCAGGGAGGGAGGGAGAAGACAGACCTGAAGAGTCAGCTATGAGAAGTAGACTAATGGGTTGGAGGCAAGGATGGATGCAGGAAATCAGTTAAGATAACTTGAAGCAATCTACCCAAGACATGACACAGCTTTGGCTAAGACAGTGGCTGCAGAGGTTAGCAGTAGCAGGATTCAGGACAGATTTTGGAGGGGAAATAGATACGACTTGGTGATGGATAAAATTTAGAGCTAAAGAGAGATGAATGCCAAAGATGACTCCAAGTCCCTGGTACAAATCATTATGTAGGTTGAGGCACCTAATCCCTGGTTTGGAAGACTGGAGCAGTGCCAAATTCAGGAGGAAAGATCTCAAATTCCATTTTAGAAATAGTTAAGTTAGAGATATCTGCACTCAGGGGCCGGGACTGGAGATATAAATCTGGAATTCATCAACACATAAAATGTATGTGAGGCTGTGGGTATGGACAAGATCATCTGGCTCTCAGGAGACACAGGAATGCTGATTCTGGGTCAAACTGACCCCCCAAAAAGTTCCCAGAATAGGCGGCAGATCTTCTTTATCACTTTGTAGACAGCTAGAGTCCCCTTTTCTTATTTTTCCCCCCTTGGTCAGAAGTGAACCAGTAAGGCTTTTGGATTCCTATAAGCAAGGCCCCTGCTCCAACCCCATGACTCAAGGGATCAAAATTTTCTGTGTCCTCTGGTGCCTGGGACTAGCTGAGACCAGCAGTGCTGTCGGTGGGTCTGTGTCTGGATCCATGTGGCCATGGTCCCTATTTCCTCCCTTCAGAGGAAGAAACAGGATTCTTGTAAAAGGGATCTTGGAGGATGGAAGATCATTCTAGGTATCCCCCAAAACTCATAACCCATAAAAGAAAAGATCAAAATTTTAACAACACAAAATTGAGATTCTGCATTGAAAAAACTACCATAAAAGAAAAGACAAACTGGAAAAAACTGAAACTCATATTAGTGACAAAGTCCTAATTTCTCTAATATGGAAAAAAAACTCCTAGAAATTAATCATATTAATACCAGCAGAATAATAATCCAACAGAAAAATGGGCAAAGGAAAGGGTTCAGATAAAACAATATACGGACAGCTCTAAATATGAAATGATCAACTTTACTTAGAAAAAGTACAAACTAGGGGCACCACCCAGGTGCCGACTTTGGCTTGGGTCATGATGTCTCAGTTCTCAAGTTCGAGCCCTGCATTGGGCTCTATGCTGACAGCTCAAAGCTTGGAGCCTGCTTCAGATTCTGTGTCTCCCTCTCTCTCTGTTCCTCCCCCACTCCCACTCTGTCTCACTCTCTCTCAAAAATAAATAAAGATTTTTAAAAACTTTCTTTAAAGTACAAACTAAAACAACTCTGAAATACAATTTTTTATCTGATCCTACTAGCAAATATAATGCTTTGCTATGGTGAAATTATTAGGAGACAGGCAATCCAAATATTAATTTTAAATGCACAGGTCTGGGGCGCCTGGGTGGCTCAGTCAGTTGAGCATCCGACTTCGGCTCGGGTCATGATCTCGCGGTGTGTGAGTTCAAGCCCCGCGTCGGGCTCTGTGCTGACAGCTCGGAGCCTGGGGCCTGCTTCGGATTCTGTGTCTCCCTCTCTCTCTGCCCCTCCCCTGCTCATGCTCTGTCTCTCTCTGTCTCAAAAATAAATAGAAACATTAAAAAAAAAAGAAAAAATTTTTTTTGAAAAAAAAGTAAAAAAATAAATAAATAAATGCGCAGGTCTCTAGAAAGACACCAATGTTTGCCTCTGGGAAGGGGAGCGAATGGGGGCGGGGGATAGGGATGAGAGACAGATTTGTTTTCATTTCTATGTCCTTTGGTGCCTTTTGAATTTTGAACCATGCAAATATGTTATCTTTAAAAATGTTTTACTTAAAATTATTGTAATCAATAAAAGAGTAGAAATTGAAATAAATAAATAAGTAAATAAATAAATAAACTATTGGTTGAGCCCAATTCTATGTCTGCAAACTGGGTTGGAATGTGCTGTGCCTCTGATTGGCCCATCCAAATCCTACGCAAACTGTAGGATCCACTTCAAGTTCTGCTTTCCCCTGGAGCCTTTCTCATTCACCTTAGCCCACACTGACCTCTCCCCGCCCTAAACAGTCATCTTCTTATACAGTCTGAATCAGGTAAATACAGGGGGTAAAAGAACACTGAGTTAAAAATTAGAAAGCCTGAATTTTTATCCAAGCTTGAGCACTAAGTCATTCAACAATTCGACATCGTTTTTGAGCTCCTGTGGGTGGAGACACTGAGAAGGTGAAAGAATGCAAGGACGGAATGTCAAGTTCAATTAGCTCTTGCAACAGAGGCTGCAATGCTCTGCAATATCCCTGTTCTCTCCACTTTGGCCCACAGACCTCCCCAGGCCTCCTCCTTGCCCTACTTCCTGCCAAGGGAATTTGGGCAGTAGCAGCAGGCACTATTCCAAGTCTGGTGCTTCATGAAAACTACTTCCAAGCCTAGATCATCTGCATGATCCTCTCTCTTTCTCTCTCTCTCTTCCCACCCTCACTCCCATCCCCACCTGATGTCTGGATTTCAATATCCAGGCGATTCCAGAAGTCATGAGTTGAAGGTGATAGAACCTCCATCTACCTGTGTCCTCCTTACTTCTCTTTCACCACAGTGGACAGTGACAAGAGCCAAAAGTAAACCCATATTGTGTTAAGACACTTACATTTTAGGATTGTTTCTTAAAGCAGCTAATGTTACTTATCATGACTAATACACAAGTATGGAACTAGAGTAATAGTCCTATAAAGCCAAAATTGTCCCACAATATTAACTATGTTTCCCTAATCAACTGGCTTTTGTGCTATCCACAACTTTCTAACTTTCCTCAAATCAGCAAATTCCCATCCACACTCTTCATTTATATCTTCATACTACAGTGATAGGGATCTGTCTGTCCAAGGATAGGAAACCAAAACTCTATTTTTAAATAAAGAATCAGACCACCTCCTTAGTCATTTATTACAACTCCAGATATCTTCTTACTGAACCAAGGGTAGAGAAAAGACCTTTTTTGTTATGTTAAAGTTATTCATTACGTTCTTGGTAGACACTGGAGTTTCACATGAATTTCCCCCCTTTTCAATGATGTCCAGTCCCTGAGGCACACTCTCTGAGAGGTTTACATGGCATCCTGATATCTACAACTATTTCCTAAATTGGAAGAAAGCTTGACATTTTATAGGCCTGTTTCTATCTGGCAAGACTTTCACAATGGGATGTGGACATTGGAATTTTGAGAGCATGGCCAGGGTTTGGACAACCTGAAAGCAAGTCCCAAGTCTTGACTCTACCAGTCAGTCAATTAATCTCTCCAAGCCTCCGTTTCCTATAAACAGGGATGATAACAGTACCTGTCTCAGGGTCATGTTATGATAATTTGATTAAATTCTCAGCTTCCAGGCTTCCTCCTTCCATTCTTAGCTGCTAAGACACTAGAGCCCAGAATCTGATTTTATTCCCCACTACCTCCAGACTATGTGGATTAAATTCTGACTACAATAAATGAAAATAAGAATTTGAACATTTCCAATCCAAAGAAATGGCAAGAGGGACAAATAAGATTTCAACATAAAGGATACAACAGGCCTGGCAAGTTCTAGAAGGCCACCTGCCCTACCCATGCTGCACAGCATCATAGGACTTGGAAAGCAGCCAACTCTGCAGTGAGATGAGACCTACACACCTCAGCCCCAGTGATTTCCAAGCATCTTTGAGTGGTTGAAATGTCTACATCAGCTCAGGAAAGTTAAAACAGGAAGCCTGATTTTGGCTGGAGCTCTTCAGTAGATAAAAAGCAAAAGAAAGTCCATCATTGGCTACTAGTAACACTGCATACAGGGTCACAAGGGAGGTATAGATAAGAGATATTTTCAGAAGAAAAACCACTAAAAAGGAAGAAAACTGTTGCAGAAAATAAGACACTTGCCTTGACTCTTGGCTTAGATTTAAGCAAGACAAGAAAGATAAGGGGAATAAGGTTCTGAGCCAGGCAGGCAGGAGACCCAATTATGGGATCTGTCCTTATGTCAGACAATGACTTCATATACTCTCAGGTAATAGAGGCTGAGATTAGCTGCCTTGGTGAAGATGAAGCTCCCTCTCCCATCCCAACAAGGGCAAAATACAAGTATATTACAAGTTGCCTATGTGAGATTAAGCATTCTAAGGAGAAAGAGCATAAAGCCCTAACAAAGGGCAATACTGGGAACTGAGTGTCATAAACAGGATCTAGAGTTTTTGATGCTATTTGAAGCTAAGAGAAGAACCATGATTTCACATATCAGCCCAGATTCTTTCCTTTGCATCTTGAACTCTCCACTGATGCTAGGCTGGGTTAGCAGGTAGCTTATAAAACCAAGGTTCTTTCAGGGCGCCTGGGTGGCTCAGTGGGTTAAGCATCCAACTCTTGATTTCAACTCAGGTCATGATCTCACAGTTCCTGAGATCAAGCCCTGACTTGGGCTCTGTACTGACAGCCCTGAGCCTGCTTGGGATTCTCTCTCTCTCTCTCTCTCTCTGCTCCTCCCACTTCCCTCTCAAAACAAATAAATAAACATTTAAAACAACAACAACAAGATTCTTTCATCCATCAGTGAAATCAGATAATGTGTTAACAGTGCACTCACCTTGTGTTTGCAGTAACTCCTGTTCACAGGGTTTTCTTCAGGGCAGACACAGGAAGTCAATGTTGTGAAAGACCGAGAAGGAACAGGCTGCAGGAAAATGGAGAAAAGCCAAAACTGAGATGTCAGAGAAGCAGAGAGCAGAGAGTGCTTGAAGACAATCAAATATGTCTAGATCCAGAAGAGAAAGACCGAAGAGTGTCCATTAGATCTGTCCATCTAGGTCATAGGTGCCTTAGCTGTTCTGGTAGATTGGTGGGGTCAAGACAAGATGGGAGTGTTTTGAAGGACAAATAGGTGAGGAAGTGGAGACAGCATGTGTGGAGAGCTCTTTTGAGATGCTTCCTGTTTAGGAGAGCAGAGAAACGGGGATAGTTGGAGATCAGGTTAGGTCCAGAGAGGGGATTGCATTTGTTTTGTCCGACTTTTGTTTGCTTATTTTTATTTATTTATATTTTTTTAAGTTTTTTTTTCATTTCTTTATTTTCAGAGAGAGATTGAGAGCATGTACAAGCAAGGGAGGGGCAGAGAGAGGGAGACAGAGACTCCCAAGCAGTCTCCAAACCCACAGAGCCCTATGTGGGGCTTCAGATCATGAGGAGATCATGACCTGAGTGGAAACCAAGAGTCGGATGCTCAACCAACTGAGCCACGCAGGCGCCCCTGCTTACTTCATTTGTAAAGAGGGAGTGTCAGTTGAATTTTCAAATTGAGCAGGAGAGGTTGAAGATGCCAGAGAGGGGGAGTATGGCTGAGACTATTAATGTCCTCCAATAGCCTTTCTCCCAAATTCCATGGTAGTTGAATCTATGAATTTTAGCTGGATAAACGGCCTCCTGACGGCGGTGGGGCAGGCTGTTCATCCATCTGATGCTGACCTTGGCATAACAGTTCTTCCCAGTCTGATCTTCTCCTCCAGACCCCCAGCCCACCTCTTACCACCAACTCCTTGCAATCTGAGGTCCCAAAGCTCTTTTTCTAGTTTCTCCAGGGCAAGGAGAGGGGAATTAAATTACCTGCCTGTTCTGTTCCTTATCACTGTAATGACATGAAGTCTATGCCTTGATTCCCCTTTCCATTTTTTTTTGTTTTGTTTTGTTTGAGAGAGAGTTCACATGAGCAGAGGAGTGGCAGAGGGAGGGAGAAAGAGAGAGAGAGAGAAGAAGAAGAAGAAGAAGAAGAAGAAGAAGAAGAAGAAGAAGAAGAAGAAGAAGAAGAAAGGGAGAGAGAGAGAGAGAGAGAGAATCCTAACTAGGCTCCATGCTCAGTGCAGAGCCCCTGATGCAGGGTTTGATCTCACAACCCTGGGATCATGACCTAAGCTGAAATCAAGAGTTGGGGGCCCTTAACTGACTGAACCACCCAGGCACCTCTCCCCTTTTCTTTTTTATTCTCAAAAACTTATTTAAAAATAAACATACACCCCAGATACAAACGCACCACTCTTAACATTAGCCCTTTGCTTCTACTTGCATTCCTACTCTTACAACAATCTTATTTTTCCTTGAAATAATATGGCTATTTCTGATTCTCTAGAGGAAGGCTCAACAAACGTTTCCTGTAAAAGGTCAGACGGCAAACACTTTGGGTCTGAGAGTCATTGGGTTTCTGTTGCAACGACTCCGCTCTACCATTCTTCACACATAAATGAGTGAAGGTGGCTGTGTTCCAATAAAACTTTATTTATGGATATTGACACTTGAATTTCCTATAATTTTTGTATGTCCTAATATACCATTTTTCTGTTGGTTTTCTTTAACCATTTAAAAATGTAAAAACCATTCTTAGCTTACAGACTGCCCCCCCCCCAAAAAAAATGGCAACAGGCCAGACTTGGCCCATGAATGGCAATTTTCCCACCCCAGTCTAGAGCTGGAACATGCAGAAAGGAAAAACACACACACACAAAGAAAAATATTCCAAGATATCTCATGATAGTGGAATACTACACTGATTTTAAATTTTAAAGTAGGAGGAGTTGTTTATCACTCTTATCATCTTGAAGTTTTCAAGGAGGGGAAGGATTCTGTTCCATTCTCCAAGAGAAAATCCTATTGGAAGAGTACTTCTGGTCTCTTTTTCCTCTCATCGAACTTGTAACTCAGTTGGTGAGATGAAGCCGTGTTTGCCAAACCACAGCCCAGGTTCCTGGCTCTTGCTCTCTCATGGGACCTGCAGGCCCACATGGAGCATCTCTTCCTCCACTTCTGTTCTCGAGTCAGGCCTAGATTCTCCTTCTGGAGCAGCTGAGTATGTGCATCCCAGGTGGTACAGCATGTAGGCCAATCCATGGAGGAGAAAGAATAATACACTAGATTATTAGAACTGGTATTTATTTTTACTTTTATTTCATTCTCAAATTTATATTCTAATAAGTCATTAAAGAAAAACAATATGACTATAAATTTGTATATAATTTGTAAATGAAGCAACATTTGAGGATGAGTGCTCAAAAATCATTTATTCATAGGGATTTGCAAATAAAAAGTTTGGGTATTTCACTTCATTTTCTTTTATCTTTATTTTTATTTTTGGGAGAGAGAGAGAGAGCCTGAGTGAGGAAGAGGGGGAGGGGGGCAAAGGGAGAGCAAGAGAATCTTTTTGTGTGTGTGTCACAGATGCTGATTTTTATTTATTTTTATTTTTTTAATTTATTTTTTATTTTGTTATGAATCTTAAGCAGGCTCCATGCTCAACACGGAGCCCAACATGGGGCTCGATCCCACAACCCTGGGATCATGACCTGAGCTGAAATCAAGAGTCAGACCTTAACTGACTAAGCCACCCAGAAGCCCCAGGGTATTATTATTTTAGAGACGGTCCTAAAGATGTGTTGCTCTCCTCTCCCAGTAGATGGGCCATGGGCCAAGCCCATCTTTTGGACCTATCCCAATGTCTAAACCTAGCTGAAGGGTGGCCAGGACAGAAGATTCATAGAAAGTCTCACTGTGGCCTCAGGCCCAAGCATCCCTCTCCAGTACAGTACCAGGTTAAAGCAGATAGTGTACCTCAATCCTCATCTGCCCCTGGGCATTTGCCCTCTGTTCAGAATCCAGTGAAAAGCCCATGTGATTCACTGGTTCCCTGGAACTATCCAGAAATTAGCTCTCTGCCAGTTGATATGAAAAGATACTTTGCTAAGCAGAAGAAACAATGTACTGTTGTCTCCTTTGTGTATTTTGCATTACAAGCCTATAAACACAGACGCAATGGATTTACTGAAAGAACTGAATTCAGTGGAGCACAAACATGCCTCAGCTTTCCTTCTGAACACAGCCTTCACACACGCCCCACTGAATGCCCTTTTCACAAGCCCCCTCCCATGATGTCTCAAACTAATCCCATAGATTTACAGTCACTTTCAGATAGAAAAATAGTTTCAAGTTGATAATTAACACTAAGCTTACTTCTGTGTATTGAAATGATTCCAACTCAAAATTTCCCCCACCAGCCTTGCACTTCCATCTCAGGCCAGTCTTGTGGTTTGCGAACTGGTAATAATAAAAGAAGTGTGGACAGTGCTTTCATTTTCCATCCACCTCCTTCACCTTCTGCAACTGGCTCCTCCAGAGTCCACATGGGGTGTGTGGGTGTGAGCTTATACTGTGGCACTGGCCTGCTGTAACTGAGCTCTGCATAACCCTCTGTATAGAGGTGTCTGAATATGGCTCTCTCTTGGGGACATGTATGGATTTCAGAGGCCCTGTTAGGGATATGGACAGTGTCCAGTTCTCTGACCTGGGGGATGGGGAAGAAGTGAGCAGGAAGGGGTATGCACCCTCCAGTGAATGTCCTGAGTCCCCATGTCCTCAGTTCCTCTCTAGTGAAGCATACTCTGTAGTCTCCTCTTGCAGTACCAAGTGCCCCCTTGCACAAGGTTCCTTCCCATTCAGCTCTTTTCTTTGGTATTCATGTGACTTAGACACATACTGTTAGCACGCACACTACCCCATCACTGCCTTCTCTCCTCACCCTAACACTGAGGGCTACTCCAGCCAGCCTCCCCGCCTGAAACATACAGGTGGGAGAGGAGGCAGGAGAGTCTATGCCACATATGAAGCTCTTCCAAGAACTCTCTCACCATACTTGGCTGTGGTAGCTGTATTGGGATTGCGTTGGGTATAAGCCTCTGCAACTCCCCAAGCCTTTCTCCCCAAGAAAGATACTAGATTACCAATCACTCTTAGTGGTTTCCTTAGCAGCCTCCTCCTGCCATCCACACATGTACACAAACATACACATACTTAGAAGAATCACAGCACTTGCCTCTGTGCTTAACTGCCATAGAATTTTTAGACTTCTTTTATGTAGACCAAAGATGGATGTTAGGATGAGGGTGAAAGGATCTGTTCAGCCAACTTTTAAGTAATCCTTTGGGTATGTATATTGTCTAACCTTAGAGCTTTGGTCAAAATATTGAGGCATCACTGGTGCGCCTAGATGGCTCAGTCGGTTAAGCATCCAACTTCAGCTCAGGTCATGATCTCAGTTTGTGAGTTCGACCCCCACATCGGGCTCTGTGCTGACAGCTCGGAGCCTGAAGCCTGCTTGGGATTCTGCATCCCCCTCTCTCTGTTCCTCCCCCACTCGCACTCTGTCTCTCTCTCTCTTTCTCAAAAATAAAGATTAAAAAAAAAATTTTTTTTTAATTGAGGCATCAGAAGTCCCATTCAACATTCTATTACACACACACACACACACACACACACACACACACACACACACACACTCTATAGTAGAAACATTCTAGAAACATTCTAAAAACACACACAAAAAAGGAACCATGTTTCTCTCCAAAAGAAAGGCTCAGTGAGTTGGGGTAGGAAGAAGCATTCTCTAGTTAAAGTAAACCGTTTAAGTACCTGAAAAAAAAAATTTTTAACATGTGAATATATTGCATTTCTGGTTTTAAGAAAACTGGTTTTCAAAATGAAACACATAGGGTGTGGTCCTCACACTGATGTAACAAAAAAGTGTGGGTGTTATTACTCACATAAAGCAAAGCAAGGGCTTTGTTAAAGCAACTTACACAAGTTTATTTCAAGCAAAGGTTACAGTTTTATTTCAAATTTCCCCTCAAGGAAGCTAAA